ACGAGGCGTTCTACTAATGTACATTTTTGCACTCTTCACGGATAACGCGACGATCTCGAGCAAGAGAGATTTTTTTTCTAATTAACGACATTTATCTCCGCATTGTTTCACGCGCGGTACTTTTTCATCTGACCACGTTTCCTTTTCCTTTGTATCGTTGATAGCCGACAGATGGACATGCGCGCGCGCGCGCGCGAACACACTGGCTGCTGGAAGAATTATAAGTTCGAATTTCTCAAGTCAGCAAGCGGGATTTACCTACGTGAATCTCTTTCTCGGCCAAAGGGATAAATTATTGTATATACCTTATCCTATCCCCCTCCTCTCAAGATCCCGCTCTTTTAGGTCATACACGGCGCTTCGGCGCGAAACTCGCGGTCTTTCCGTGAAAATTTATTTCTTTATACTGGCGCATCTTGTAGCTCTTCTTTCGGAAGTTAATATCCTCTTTAATCTTTTCACGTCCGGAAAACTTGGCCGGCGAAGACTCGCCCTCGCAACTTTGCGCGCGAACTTCAACGTCGCGCGAACTTCCGCCGTGTGTCTCGCGCACCGTCCTGTACTAAAGTTAAAAATTTGCCCGACAACAAGAGAGGTTACTTTCAATTTGCTCCTTTTGCCTCTCTTGCTTGTCGTCCGCGTGGATCGATCTGCCTGGCAGCGGTACAATCTCGTGTGGCTTTGACGCGGACAACCCTTGGGTATGTCTCACCGACGACGAATATATGAATAATTTCCCCGTCGACACGGTGCGCGGTGCGACGCGGTTCGCCGCCGCACCGACGAAAATCGATATTCCATAAATGTGTAAATGTGTAACCGAATCCCGGCGATTCTCTTTGCCTAAGCAAAGTACGTGGCCTTGTCGGTGAGACGGGCACATGTGCCCCAAAATGCATTAGGTAGCGGCGTCGTCGCACATGCTGCACCGTTCGCATCTTCGACATCTTCGACAGTGCTCGACAATAGATCCGACAGAGCGCAACGACACGCATAGATTTCTCTTCTTTAAATTTGCTGCCTTGCGAATTTTTTTTCTGAGAATCTCGACGCGAAATTCAGCCGTGAACTTGTCTGCTGCCGTAGCGGAAGAATTTTTCTTCCGGTTTCCCGATTCTCACCGCACTCGATGTTCTCCGCAGATGACGTTTTTTTTTTCTTTTTTCTTTTGTTATATTTTGGCAGATTTTATTTGCCGTTCACTCTACAATTGCGAGAATACTGAATTCAACGAAAAACTTCGAAATTTCGAAACGCGCGCGAAAAAAGGCAATTCACGTTGATTTGAAAAAAAAAGAAGAGAAAGAGAAATGAAATGTTGTCGCGATATATTAAAAAAAAAGATTTTCCCGCGTTTGTATGTATCGGGCTAACTCGCGAGGGACAGATTTATGGGCAATATCCTCTGCGACGGAAAATTCGAGGCGATAAAGGGGGCACGGATACACGCGCGCGCGCGCATACACGCAAATGTATTTCGGGAACGCGTGCAGAATATCGCGATCGATATCACATCTCCGGAAATCATGGTGTAATGCGTCCACGAGCATTTCCGGCGATCGATGCATCTCTGGCCGCTTATCACTTTGTCTTCCCGTGCCCGTTTCCTCTGTGCGTGTATTGTCGCGCTCTCGATCTCCCTCGTAACACGCCGGTGAAAATTCAATTTTCCCGATTTTTCCATGAAAAAAGGCCCGATGCTTCAATCCCGGAACATGATAGCACCGTTGTACATAAAACAAAACGAAGAAACGACGGGAGAAACCAAACGCTCTTTTTCATTGTTCCGCGATAAAAGAAAGAACTGCGTCGCGTTTTATTTCAGCACGCCCTTTCTTCGTTTATTTTCTTTCTTTTTTTCTCTTTTTTCGCGAACAAAGTTTGCTATCTCGCGGCACAGAAATGTTTTATGATGTCTAGCTCAAGCTTCGGTTAAAAACAATAGAGTCAATAGACGATATCGCGTATAGAAAATATTACCTCAGGTAATTAAATTGATCTGTCAAAGTACCCTTTAACGCATTTCCTGAATAGTTTCATGAAATAGATATTTCGTGAGCAAGCAGATATTATAGGCTCTCTAATTATTTATTATAATCCGCCATCTATATACTATCGTATTTATAGTGCAACGAACTCGTTATTAATCTTTCTGTAAAGCTTGCTGAAACATATAAAGCGATTGCACGATCGTGCCGTTTCATCGAGAAAAAGCTTTCGGCGATTGAGCTAATCGCGACGATTTATCTTCATTAACGCGCTTCAATTCCGCACGGAAATAGAGCGAGGGTATCACCGTATCGTGTTGAGAGCGACGGCAAGAAAGGGAAATTAGGATGCTGATTTTGCTCGCGACGAGGCAAACTTTTTTTTTTCGGATTGTATACTGTAACGGTGTAGGCTTGAAGGGCAATTAATTACGAGGGGACGTTGGAGCGGCCGCGGCGGCCGGAAGCCCGACTCACGATGCACAGCGAAATATGAAATTCAATTTGGCCGTACACGCGGCCACTTCCCGCGCTCAACCCTGGAAAATTAAGGGTTGCCATTTCACCAGTAAGAATTTCAGGAAAGATAGCGCGTCGTTATAACGATAACGACCGTGTCGATTAATAATCCCGATGTCTTTCTTTCGAAGATGACCGGAATCTTTAAATTAATGATTATGTAACGCAATCGGAATATATTTGAATGCAATGGACTATGTAATGCGATTGCATGGCAAGAGCCATGTGATATCTTTCAATCTCTCTAGTTACAATTTTAACGAGGTCCTTACTTAAAAAGTTGATATTTTTTTCTTACGATTCTCTTGACCGATGATTTATTTAAAAGAGATTTTTATATATATCTAACGACATAATTTTATGCGTAATTTAATAATTGGATAAATAACAAAGGACTCTCGATGATAAACTTAATAATTAAAAAGGGGCTTTGAGAGTATAACGCGCGATTGACGGTGCGTAATAAGTTGATGTTATATCAATCTTTAATAACTAATAAGATATATAATTATAAATCGAATAGAATACTTAATTATAAATTGACATTAGTTATTAAAGATTAATTTAACGTTAACGTACGCACCGTCAACCGCATTGAACTCTCAAACGCCTCTTTTTATTTATCATGCATTTATATGCGTAGTTTACTTGAGATCGAGTGTGCGACTAGAATGTAAATTAAGTGGCATTGAATGTAATAACTTGACTTAATGGAACAAACCAGTTTCCAATTTATTTTATCAATTCACAGATCAAAAGTACACAGTCATGTCTATTACATGTCGATTATAACTCAACATATACATATATCGTACAAATCAATATATCTCACTTAATGACGAAGTAACGACATAAAATTACAAGTGTCAATATTTAATTTATTGCATGAAATGCTGACAAGTGCAATCTTGGCCAGCGCTACATATTAATTGAGTATAACGATGAAAAAATATTGTATTTCTTGCGTTGACACGCCCCGCATTTTCTTCCCCGTCGTAAACTCTGTCGAGATTTATCGGATTTGCAGCACGGATTACTCACCGCGAATGTCCCGGGACCTTGTACACGTGAAAATGATCAGGAAATCTCGTACAACTGTTTGGAATTGCTTTGGGAAAACGAGGACGGCGTGTCTTTCTCTCCTTGAATTTAATCGAATGAAAATTACATCCACGCCCATTTCCTTCTTCGAGCAACCTTTTTCTTTCTCTCTTTTTTTTATGTGCCCATGCCAGAGTGCGTCGGACAGGTATTTTAATTTAATAACATTAAAGTAACATTGATTTTACTTGTGTGTATTTTCGAATAATGAACGATGTTTTTAACACTCGATTCGGACGCCATGTGAAACGTAATATTTTAACAATTGACACATCGAACGTGCGTTTGAAAGCCCGTCGTTTATCCCGCGACATTATCGCAATATGGTGACGACGCTACGGGGTGAAATTCGTCGTTACATTGCGGCGCGAAGTTCAGTTATCATGGGCGCGATAATTATGCGAAGTGGAGAATTTCGTGCTCGCACGCGCCGTTGTCAACTTCCGCTTTTAATGAGCTCACCGCGTTTAATAAACGCGAGGTATGCAAAAGGAGCAAATTTGCATTGCGAAGGAAGCATCTAAATGCTTGCGAACTTAACCGAATCAACAAGAACAACACCGCTGCCGGCTATATAGAGAAATATCCTTTTTCTATTTTTCATTTAAGTTTGCATGAATAATCTGCTTTTGATATAAACACATGTTGTACAGCATGCAAGCACCAGCTCTATAGAAACGACTTTCTCTCTAAAATTCCTAAGCTGCACTAAAGTATAAACTTTCAAAAAGCTGGCCAAAAATTTATATCTACACTAAAATCATTATCATTCCAACATTTCAATCCATCTCATTAATTCGATCGTTATGAAAAAAAACGAATTTATTGCAAAAGTTCACGTAATATTAAATATACGAATGTTTGGATGGCTACATACATTTCGTGCAATAATATAAAGCGTTATGTAAAGTTTTTGCATTAAACTGCCCGAGCGTATACTGTGATGAATTTGGAAACAATTTATATCTTTATAGTTTGTTATAGCAAAGCTGTAGATTAAACTTCGGTTATAATCTAGTTAAAGTGAGAGCTACACATGGTGAATAATAACGATTTATTCGCGTCCGTGTAGTTTAATCCGCGAAAATTCCATAATCCTCCTTGTTAGATAATTTCATAATTACGATTCATCATGGCATGCGTTTGTGAAAATTCATCAAGGAATACGCTCCTGAATGCAAATCTTTTATATGAACCTTACGGATATAGAACTTGTATAATGTTTACGTAAATGATATTCTTGATGAAACGATGTCGCGATATTTTGGTCATTTTTTGGAATCCGACGCGAGATGAATGGCCTTGCCGGAAGCATGAAGTTCCCCCAAGCTAGCAAAGAGTAAAAAGTCACGCGACCTTTCTTCTAATTCCCTGAACGCTCGGTTGTTGCAGGCACACACTCCTCTTCTCGCAGCCGACACGAGACACGTAAGTAGAAAGTTGGTGGCAAAAAGTAGCCGAGACAAGGAGATTGTTAGCAAGTAGTCGCGACCGAGAGAAGAATCGCAATCGTGTCACGTGCGTTCACGTCCCCTTTAATTTACATGTTTTACTTTGGCTTGAAAGTATGTCAGTTAATGCCAACTTCGATATTAATATCAAAAAGGTGTAAAGACGTTGCTTATCGTGACATTAGCAGAAACTTTTTATAAATTTGATAAGAATTTTATGTCAAGGATTTCAACATTGTTTATTGACTAATATATTAACATGGCCATTTAAATTTTTCTCTCGGCGCGAAAGTAGACCGCATTTTTATATGATTAAACGCGAACGGTAATGTCTTATCGAAAGCATATTTCCATTAATTACACAGATGACACAATTAAACAGTTCCCGCAATGCGTGTCCTGCATGTCTACAAATTATCAACTATAACCGTTATCATCGGTGTGTGCGCAAAGCTGACATATCATTTCAAAAGAACTCATAAACTATTGAGAGGTCTGGTTTTATTTTTAATAGTTCTATAGTTCTTGAGTTAAGTAAAAAGTTTATTTTAATTTGAGAAATATATATATTTATTAGTGTTTGTTAAAACTCTTGTTAAATTGCAGAACTATTTTAGAATGAACAGATTTCCCGAAAAACGCATTTTACCTCAATACATATAGATTTGCCTTCCTTATAAAGGATATTAATTTTTCAGGAACTATATTTAATTAGTATTTATTGTTAGAACTTTTGCTGCAATGCATAAATAGTTACAGAATAACGTGAAAACTACTTTATAACGAGAAAAAATCTACGTCTTTTTCATCTTGGTACACTTGTAACAACGTTTGCTCGTTCCTATTTAATTATATTTGATATTTTTTGCATTTAAAAGGCAGTACTTTTTCATATAGAATTATAAATTCTTTAAAATGCTAAGAGAACTCGCGCAAGATAAACTGAAACGTTGTATGAATCTGGCATTTTCATTTTAAAACATTTTATAACATGGCCATGATTATTTATAATATCTAACGTATTAAAAATTATTCTTTATTAAATCTCAGCCGAATCAAACCAGATCAATTAAAGAGATAATATTTAGTTATTTTGTATTAAATTGTACCACCAAAGATGATTTTATTTTTGTATTGTACTACGTGCCATTACGAAGAAATGGTGCTGAAAGACATGCTCTTGACGTGATCTTATCAGTTTAATAGAGATTAAAAATTAGAGAACTATTAAAGATGAAGCCAGAACTTTCAATAGCCTGAATTTCTATAAATATTCTCAAATTTTAAAGTTTATAATACCTATAATAATATTGTCGCGGTATTGCGATGATTAAACTTATCGTGGTTGTTAAACGCTGCAAAAGTACCATGTAATGTGTTCAGCTTGATTTACTATGATACAAATTACTCGTTGCACGACAGAAGTTTTACCGGCGACCGGAAGAGAGCGAAAGTACAGATAATGACAACAGCAGCTAACCAAATCGAAACGCGGTATTATATACAAATGTTTTATAAGATAGCGCGACGTCTATCTTGACATATACGTCGAAGTTTATCATGACGTAATTGCAGTTTCATATCGTTGCTGCGCGATGTCTCCTCGTAAATTACACGCGCAAGAAGACGTAACGGATAATTATTTGTCCCTGAGTCATTAGCGCTAACGATCCCCTTTGCCATTCCCGGTAGTCCGGGAATCTAATCTACGAGCAACGATTGCGTTCACGACACGTCGTTCCTTAATCATCGTTTGATCGGTTAACTTCGGCGATTATTATACGCGGATCTTCAAGACGTATAAAACGACAGATCCGGAAGTGTTTGGTCCGTGCGAACTTCCTCATGCTTCCGGAAATCGATTTGTAACGCGTGTAGGAAATCGTGTAATCTCGGTTTCCTCCTACTCGCTCGCCTGCCCGCTTCCGTCGTCTGGCGGTCTTATCCAATTTGCCGTGAAACTAATCCAATTGCTTCTCGAGAGTTTGCTAGCAAACAATGATTCTTCAATGATTCTAAGCAATTAGATAACATATTATTAGATCTTGTCTCTGTAATTTTTAATCGTGAAAACAAAAACTCAATTGGTAATGATGGTTCGCGTATACTATTCTTTTTATTTTTATTATTTCTTGAATGTGATTTTCTCGGACATAATGACCGCGTTCAGACACAACTGTTGAGTTCGTCTTATCAACACTCTGCGTTGCGTGGTTGGTTCTAAAAGTAAGAGCCACGCACGTTCGACTGCTACTCAGCGGCTTGGTCTGCTGAACGCGCTCAATCTTAAGTAAGGATGTACCTAATAGAAACGTATGAATAGCTTTATGTAATTTTGAAAAAAATGGACTAAAATGCGAATAATTTAAAAGAAATTAATTCTATTCATTGTCATTTATATATATATCACATCCAGATTAGCTGCATAAAAGAAATTATGAAAAAGCATTTTAGAAGGCAATAAATTTTTTATTTATGGTTCTTTGTTCGATATAATAATTATTTTTATAATATATAATTTTTATCCTCAACTTGTTGCGAATGAAGAGATGCAGCGAAATCAAACGCCGCACATGATTCCGCACGGATTACAATGACGGTGATGTTAATTCTACAAGATATCGTGGACGTTAAATTCCGGTAGTCGGGAAGCTTAAAATAATTATCCCGCGGCGTGAAAGTTAAACTCCATGTAGACACACTGTATAGCAATACATGTTGCCTTTACACATATGCACAAGTGTTTCCCTTCGGGCATGCATGTGAACGTGCAATGGCGCGGCGCAAAATATTCGCTGACTGTCGTGGAAATCCGCACATCGGGCTAATTAACTAACACGTTGCATTTCATCGCTCTCTCGTCCTATTAACTGGATGGAGACCCGTGTCTGCGTTGATATTTCGATTGATTCATTATTCGACTAATTAAAACTGGTATATTAAACGTCAAATAAATTACACATTATCGATTTTGGCTAATATATCTGTGCGTATCGATATCTCGCGATAAAAAACTTCTGTTAAAAATATAATCTTGTATTCTAAATCTAGACGGATCTTTGACGGGGTGCGGCATGTTACCCCACGTCCCCTCCTCCTCTCAGATGCCTATTTCAGGACATTATTCATTCAATGGAGTTGATTAGTCTCCGTTGGCCTTTTAAATCACCCTTGTCTCTCGAATGTGCAAACACACCCATCGCCTCTTCCTCAAAACTTCACCAGTTTCGTTCTCCTCGGCTTCGTCGGAAGATTCATAGCGGGCCTGATTCGATTTGCAACGCCGTTTGAAATTCAGGCGAGGGCGTATTTCATTCGTCGACGGTCAGAGAGGGAGGAGGAGGGGGAAGATGGGGGAGTCTGGTTGAGAACGCGGCCCGGTGAATATCGAGCTTGCCAAATGGAGTAAACTGCAGCCTCCGGCTCGTGTAATCTTCCGGAAGTCGCCGTCTGCCGTCGATTACCATCCTGTCTCTCTCTTTCTCTCTCCCCCCTCTCTTTTTTCGTTCATTGTTTCGTATACCTCTTTTTGTCTTCTCGTCACCTCTGCCCCTATTGTCTTCTTTTTTCCGTCGGCTTCTCCGTACCGTATTCCCCCCCCCCCTCCGTACCTCCCCTTGGCCTTGGCGGTAAATCAGGCGAAAGGGGTGCCGCATAATCCAGCGAAATGAAGCCAAGTCGTTTTTACGAGACGTCGCGGGAATCATATTTTCGTCGTGGCTCCGGGAGAACTGTTTGTTTTCCTCGTCGCGTGGGAAAAATCTCGCGCCAACGGGGAAAATGACTGCCCCCGTGAATAGGGAGATTCATGGCATGGAGCGAATTCCCGCATGGCTCGACGAATTCCGCGGGCGTTCATCAATACGCAGCAGGATATCGGTCTCCAGTATTCATTTCCTTTGGATTAGTACGCACGCTGCATACAGGGTATACAGATGTACCCGGGAAAAATCCGCTTTTTATGTAACCACCGTAAAAAAGTGGTTAAAAAAGTGGTGGATATTTCTAGCTGGGTCGCATGTGATACACGAGCAATGACAGAGATATTGTCGAACTGACAAAACTTCATCTATTTTTACGATGGCTGCATAAAAGATGCTCCTATGTCCGTGATGTCCGTATGTTGCGTCATTTGGGACTTGCAACTGAATTTTGCATTTATCACTTTCGCATATTTTTTAAGTGATAGGTGGTTATTTAATTTCTGACGGTGATATTAAATTATCGATGGTTTTTTCGAGTTTTACGCTTCTTCTTTTCTCGACAGAAAACTAGCAATATTGTCCAGATGCTTATTTTATTGCGGATAGTAACATAATTTGATAATGTTACTTCCTTGATAATGAGAATTGTAATATCCTGGAGTGCTTATCTGCATACGACATTCCGAGATCTATTTTCGACGAGGCAAGTTAAGGCTTCGATCGCCGCCTGAAATTCAGGACTCGAGTTGCAGGCATCGTTTCCCGCGGGAAAACATCCCTATCTCGCATTATTCCAAGCCGTCGAAATCCCGGTTTCATCAGGGTCTTCATTTCGCCCCTCCCTTCAACACGTCGTATTTTCTCATCGCAATATCACGCCCTAGTCATCATGTTTATGAAGTCTGCGTTAAAATGTGATTAGATCTTCACTTAATTGAGATGCTGAAATATCGACGGCGCATTAAATATG